TACATAACTGTGATACATTTCTGTGAACTTTTCAAAAACGTTCAAATTAATTTAGTATTTATACAATTTATTTAATCTACAAAAATGAATTTAATTTTATAGCGTTTATATGTATAAATATATTATTGAAATAAATCTGTAAAAAAATAATAGTGGAAAAAAGATATAAATTTACAATTAGCTTGTGAAATCTGACGGATCTCCATAAAAAATTATCCAAACTCTTATTACTTGAAGAATTTCGAAATGATTGTGAAGCTAATAATTTCGAAAAAGAGATGTAAAGCTTCTCTCACAAAATATCTTTTGCTGGTCTTTTATTAAAAAAAAAAATACTATTGCAGATTAGCTAAGAGCATAATGAAATCCATCATACAACCCATGTATTATTATAATTACATATAAATTATGTACGGTTATTCTATAGTAAATATTTCATCGTGTACATTAGCGTTGTTACATACTAATATAATGCGCATTAACAATGAAACGTCCGTATCAGCAATATTCATAAATGCGAATCGTTTCATCGTCATAAAATTTCGCAGGATTCACGGTACCTACGCACTTTAAACACGCTTGATCACGTTCCACGGATCATCGTATTTGCTGTTGCGCGAAAGCCCGTTATGTCGCGAATCAATAGAATTTTGCTGGTAAATACAATGTCGGACAAAGCGCTTGCTTGCCAAGCCCGTAATGTATCAAGCAAATCAATTTAACATTAGATTATTCTGCAAGCTCACAAGTAATTTTCTTCACATATTTTCACGAGTTCTAATATAGCTTTACTTCGTCGATTAACATTATTTCACTAGAGGATTTACAATTTTCTCTGTTACATTTATGTACAAATTTTACTTGTATCTGTGTGTTACAGAGGATATTTTTTTTTGCAACAAACATTTCTAAAATCGGCACTAGGATATTGATTATTTAGTGCAATTAATTGTTGAACGCGGCAACGAAATCAAAATTTACATTTAAATATCACTTTAGATTGTATTATAATTATTATTATTATCGAATTTTAGTTCTATAAAATTAAGAAAAAACACCGTTTAATATAGAGACTCTTCGTTATTACTGATGAATAACGCGAGCATGTGTCAAAATATCCACCGCGTGATGAAGTGACGCGGAAAGGCGAAGGGAAACGATATACTTGTCTAACGCTATTTGTCACCTATATCGGAACGGTGTTGCGACGGTTTTGCATAATCGGATGGGCATTCTCTCTCTCGCGCGCGCGCGCTCGCTCGCGCGCGACCGAAGGTTTCGCACGATCAAAATAATTCCGCGCGTCGCGGTTTGTAAATAACCGCGCGCCCGCGTCTATTGTATCGCGCTCCCCAATATGCACGCGCATTCCCACGGATAACACGTGTGGGAGTCGAACGTGGTTCGTGAATACAGTCAATCACGGCAATTTGCATCTCTCCTGTCTGCCGTGCGTTCCCTCGATCCACTCTCTCCCCGTCCCCTCCTCCTCCCCCTCCCCCGCCCCCCGTCTCTCTTCTCTTGTCTCTGTGTGTTCTCATCTCCATTATCTCTATCGGCTTGTCAAACCTTGTGCCTTTGGCGCAAATCACGTCTGATTGAGATTTCGGGCCGGATTCGTGAATAGAACTTGATTTATCCCTAACGCACGCGCACCGGCAGGTCTCTCTTACGGATGGATCGCGTAATCCGAACGCATTAACTGCTATTGCATCGCGCGGTGGGAAGGATCTTTGATTGAAGAAATAAGCGGTATCTTCACCAGCAATTTACGTGGCATTCGGTTAAAACGTAGAGAAAAAAAAGGAAAAGTTTATTCTTCGGAAAAGTTCCGAGTTAGAATTTTTACTAGCTAAGAATTTCTATTACTTTGGGTTATCTTATCTTATCTCTCTCTCTCTCTCTCTCTCTCTCTCTCTCTGAGTAAAATTCCATTAATAAAATTTTTAATGTTTCACGATCACTAAAACTGTTTAAAATTCATGATTTCGCGAATCACACTCAAGTACCTTCCGGTTTTTCCTGCAAACACCTTTTGTTTATAAAAAAAGCAACGTTACTTCACAAAACGCTGAAGTTTCAAGGGAAATTTACGCAGTGTAATAAATTCGCAAAGTTCATTCTGACGATGTTTATCGCTTCCATTACTTTCGGCGCCAGCCGAAATGGCCTTTGCAGCCGGGGCGACGTATCGCGATGCATCGGGTGCGATGATAGCGCAGAAAAATATTGCTGTAATAAATTATTTAAACTAAACTGGAGGATCGATAGGTGATATCGATGTTCCCCGTGTCAGCGAAAAAGCTCGATCGTTTCGGAATTAAATTTGTATTGATAATTAATTTACATGTATATTACACGTTTATATGAACGTGACAGTCGAAATCGCGGTAAAAGGACAGATCAATCGGAATTGATCAACTTATGCCTTTTTCAAGAGAATCAAAATTTAAAAAAATTATAAATATATATTTTAATTTTTTAATTTTTCTCGTTCTTAAGTTTGAGTTGAATATCCTCGATTTATTCGCGTTATTTATGTGTACTTTAAACATGTAAAGCATTTTCAATTCTGTAAAGCTAATTCGAAGAAAATTCGAATCTGTCGATAATTCCCAGTTCAGGTAAAGAGGTGTATATCGAGTCGATCCCGTCAGTCCAGGATCTCTGTAAAAGAGTTAGATAAGAAATGTAAGAACGAAATCTCCGCAGAATCTTTTTTCTATCTCCTCATATTTGATGGATTATTATTTTAATGTTGTCACACTAATTGTAAACTCATTAATATCAAATTGATTACTTTGATAATCATTAAAGTCCGAAAGAGAATTAAAAGCTCCCACATTACGATCCTCGATGTGCACGACTCAAGGGACCCCGTTATTGATTGTCGATTCACGAACGCGGCAACCCGCGGCGTGGCGGCGGGCGAGAAAAGCGAGTTACTCTTTGCTCTTGCCGGCGTGGTCCGAAGGGAAGAAAGGTTTTCCCAGATACTTAGGACTCTAGCTATAACACCGCAGACACATTGCACGTCCGGCGCACCGGTGCACCGCAGCCGCCGTTTTCGTTTTAATTCAAGTGCACGGCTGGCATTAGCACTCCGGTGGAAAAAGGCCAGTGGAACCCACCGCAGCCGCCCGCGCCTGGCGGTATGCAGTGCGGCCGTTCGTCTCGCGCACGTGTGCTACGGGCTGACAGTATAACTGCGAGCCGCGGTGAAGTCGACGACGACGTGCATGGACCCCCGTGTGTCCAGAAAAATATTGTCTGCGTACAGTGGAAAGCACGCGAGGGATAGAGACAGGATTGCTTTTAGCTGCGTGTCGTCCAATTTCGCTCGCAGTTCTCACTCTATTCGATCGACACGCAATAAATGATCCTGCAACGTGCAGTGATCGTGGTGTACGTATACACTTCTCCCCGTGACAAATCTCTCTGCTCGGGATTATTCGGAAAAAAGCATCGGTCGCGAAAAAGTTTGAATAACGATAAAAACAGGATGAGACAAATTAAAAGAGAAATTTCTTTTTTAGGTGTGAATGAATTATAATTTTATTAACAAGAGATATCACTAGGGATTATATAGATAGTAATTTTAGTAAAAGCATAATTTTCGAACGCGTAACGTCTATCATTTCAGCCGTTCGCTTTATCTGCTTAATTAGAGCTTATCGCTCTTAATTAGTAGTTTTAGTAAGGAATGTTTAAACATGTGTATTAATTATTTTTATATCTTACGTATATGAAATTATAAAGTGTAAATTTACATAATGATGATTTAGTTGAACAAATTTTACAATAAACAATGAAAATATAATATATATATTAAAGGAAAATTATTATGAGAGTATATTTAAATTAATAAAATCTTTTAAAAATAATAATTATTAATTAAATTTATAGAATTATTTTCTCTCGAAAATATCATGATTTTGTTAGTAGTGAAACAAGAATATCATATTCTTTGGTACAATTTTTTAAGGTTTGTCATAACGAAAGAAGGAAAGACGCTCTATGTAACTCATAACATAAAAGTTATCGTAAAAGGTTTTAAAGAGCTTTAAAAGCTCGCTAGATTGTCAAGTTATAATCGGCGAAAAAAGTTTGCAAGATTTTAATCCCATTCGTCCACATGATGCGTTTAATCTCACGGAAAAAGCTCATGTGCATATTACATTTCGAAAATAAGTAGAGTAAATAGGGAAAACGTCCTCTCATAAATATTTTAATATTTTATCTTCGGCTCATGCCTCTAAGATAACACGAATTACGCATTAAACAGTGATATGAAATATTATTCTCATAGAAAATCGCTATAAAATGATTTTTAATTTTGATATACCTGTATACTCTTATCAAATTGCAGACAAAGTGATATACAAATAAATGGTATCATTGCGATATTTACAACTTATTTTCAAAATTTTGATATAGAGTTCTTGTCTCTTTCCATTTAAAAGAATTTTAGTATTCCTGACGTTTCAAAAAATCTTACAATTAAAAAATATACAAAATAATTAAAAAATACGGAATATTTACTTTACGTTTTTATTGTAGAAATTGATTATAACTTTTTTATTGCGGTCAGAGAATCTTATAAGTCTTAACAGATACAATAGTTTGATTTCCGAAAAGAGGAAAACATATTGAAATGCATAGGAGGAAATGCAGGAGGATTTTTTTTTATGTTAAAATGTACTTATTTCTTGTTAAATGTTTTCAGTTAGTCTCAACTTGAGTTTCAGTACTTTCGATAAAACTCTTGAGATATCGGGAAGTGTTAAGAAAATGTTTGATTTAAGAAAAACATCTTTTTTTCATAGGAACTTCCAAGTCTTTAAAATTCTCTGCGATGATTGACTTCTCTCGGAATATAAAGTTAAAAGCGAGCAGAATAATAATAAAAAAAAAAATAAAATACATAGAAGGAGATCAAGGAAAATCAGTGATTTTCTGATTCTTTGATGTTAAAATGGAACTTTTTTTTTCTGTTGTAGAAGTCGAGGAGCGCTTCGGCGGGAAGGCGCGCGGCGGTAAACTAGCGCGTCGCGCACGCTCCTTCAAGGAGGACTTTCTAGAGAAGCTCTCCCACATGCGTTCTCCTGGTAGCGGAAGCGGCGGCGGTGGCGGCGGAGGCAGCGGGGCGGCCACAAGGGCCGCCTCGCCCTCGTCACCGCGTACGCCGCGGGACAAGAACGCCCCCCCGGGCACCAACGACGCCGCTCTGGATAAGAATCCCCTGCGCGATCTGCACATCCACGTACGGCAGGTGCAACTGGCGTTGCTTCACTTCCGGGATGTCGTATCCAAGAAGAAGCTCGAGATGCTGCCCGGGAACGGCACGATTGTCCTCGACACCATTACCACGATACACAACGCGTTGAAATCATATCTGCTCTACGAGAACAGGTGATTGTCCTGCATGCGAAATAGTCCCGTTATCTAGTAATCGATGTATAGGAGGAGTATACATCATATAGGAAAAATTTACTGGATCAATATTTAAAAAGTCGATCCCTATATTTTATTTTAAACAATAATTATAATTTAAACTAGACTGCATATATGAATATCTACACAATTAATTTCGAGAGCGCCTTTAACGGTCACGGCTGCCTAATAAATTCTATATGATTTTCTTAATTTCAATTCTTATTTTACTTATTTTACTAAACAATACTATTCAATCGATATTATGTTTTGTACATATGTGGGGGAGGTGATTTGTTTGAACGTCGCGTGTCGTTGCAATTTTCTGGTGAAAAAGAAGTATGTAGATTTAAATTGCAGTACAAGGTAGAAATCGATTTATATCTCCACACTCTCTTGATTCTTTATTCTGCCACTTGCAGCTCCACATTGGGATCTGCCACGAATCAAGTGTACCAAGCGTTAGCGCAATTGCTGAAACTCTGCGACGACGTACTACTGCATGGTGATCAATCTTCCGCCTTGGACACCGAAAACGTGACGCACGTTATTGGACTGGTCGAGGAAGCGGTGAAAAATCTAGTAGCTCTGGCGCATGAGAAAATTGCTAACAAGCAGAAACCCCCGTCTGCTACAAATAATAACAGGTAAATTGCAGTAATATAGCGAGTGAAATTCTAGTACAATATATCTCGAAATAGCAAGAAAAAAGCTGTGCCGTCAAAATTAAAATATCATATTAAAAGTACGTATAAAATATTATATATATGTATGAATGTGCATTTATAACAGAGCTGGAAAAATAATAATCTAATTATAACATTAATAGTGATATGAAATCTTAATATGGTTTTATGATACCAAGGAATTATATGATTGAATATTAATTATTATTCGATATAAAATATGCTTTCACGAGCATTATAAAGTGCACATTAATGTTGAAACTGAATTTCACATATAATCTTTTTTGCTGTTTTATATAGAGATAATTGAATAATTTGAGGATGAAATATGAATGATCGATACAAGATTTGCTTAAAATAAGTTAAAATCAGTAACGTGCATGGTAAATTATAGAACTTCTGGGTACGGATCGGAATTAACGCAAAGAAATTCTCTACCGGATATACCGTTGACACCAAGAGAACGGCAGATCTTGGAGCAAACGGCAGCAAGCAGTAGCTTGGTTCGCAGCTCGCACAGCTCCGAGTCGATTCTACGGGATTCTAGTCCACCCCCGAAACCCCCGCTGCCTGACAGGTAACACTCGTTTCGCTATAAGAAGGAGAACAATAAATCGCTTGTCGTCGAGTCACGTGAAGTTGAACGTAGATACGCTCGATCCCTTGTAGAACAAATGTATGTTTGTCGGAGGAAAATAGCTCTTCTGGCACACCTCCTCCGTTACCGCCGAAGAGAAGGACGAGGACCCAGCAGCTGCTCGACGAATCGGAAGGTCTTCTGGCATCTAGTCTCGACAGGGTATCCCTCCGAAGTCGATCCCCAGAGGATTCGTCATCTCTTCTGAGCGCGTCGGCCGGCAGTCTGGATTCGGCTCTGAATCATTCCCGAGACGAGGACGAGATTCGAGCTATAATGGGACCAAATGACGAATCTTTGAACGACAGTATGGACCTAAGTCTTATGGCTACCATCCAAGGTAACGTTCGGCCAATTTACACTGAAATGTTTATTCGTAATAGTATCGTTTGAGGGTTCTACATTAAAATTTTATTTTTAATAGCATTGTTTAAATATAATTTAATTGTTAATTAATTGTTAACATTTTTTACGTAATATAACAAAATCATATAATATTATTTAACATAAAAAGGCATTCTTTTAACACATATATCATCATTTATCGAGTTGTTCCACGATTATACGTTAGTTTCCATTTCCGCGGATAACGTGTACGTTTGGAGTGGCACTAATGAGAGAATTGTAAATACATTCCCATATGCGTAAGATGAATGGTCCATGGTCGACGCTTACTCAGCATTTTAGTTTATTCTACTTGCCTTGAGTTTTCACGCCAGTCTACACTCGAACGTTTGTTCGAGCTGTACAAATGAGTTTCTGTTGTCCGTGATTAAAATTAAGTATTTTATTAATACAAAAAAAAAAAGAAATCCGCGCGATTATTATGGATCCGGGAGTTTCTCACGCTTTAAATACCGTAATTATTAATAAGTGCATGAAGTATATGAAGCTAAGTATAAACTATGAAGGTATTTCAAGAGTTTTGTATAACGTTGGATATATATAGTGTACTGTGCTCATAGTGAAATGATTAATTTTCACGCCATTTTTATAAAATAAGAACTATTATTAGCATTTCCTGAGAGGAGTGTGTGTATTTTTATTGTTATATATATTTTTAGTATTAAACTGAGTTTGTGTCAATGTTTATTTTTTTATATTGGATAATATAGATTGCAAAATATATAATTGTATATTCTGTATTATTGTAGGCATGCAAGTTAATGGTACTTCAAACTGTAATTGCTGGGATGGTTCTGAAAATAATATACCGAGTACTATGTTGCTAGGCCAACAAACACCTCAAGAAATGCTTAATCCATTAACTGGTGTGTAATTTTTTTAAATCAAATATAAATAATTTAATTATGAAGAAGATTAATTAATCGATAATATTAGTAAATTAATAATTAAAATCACATATATGTTGCAATAACAAGTTAAGAATTTATGTTTCAGTAACAAATTAATAAAAACGTTTAAAATGATTTATCGTTTATTTATTAAGTTGCAAAATTCTTTTAATTCAAGTATTTTCAATTATGTATAAACATTAGAAAAGAAAAGGAAAGGAAAAGTGCGAGGCTAAAATTACGCAAGAATTCTGAAAATAGTTAGTGGAACAAGTTGCGTGGGCGGCATCGACCTTCCAGCCGCGTGAATAAACAGTATCGTATAGATCTTCGCCCAAAGCGCAGCGAGATTAAGCGAAATCTTTTCTTTTCTTTTTCACATCATCATAGTGGTTTTATTGTTTGTAAAATGTCACGTAGATCTAGTTTTAGTTGGGAAAATGTTAAAATGTATTTTTGTAAGAGAAACTTGACAAAATTTTGTGCATTCAAAATTCTTTTTTTTTTTTTTAGATAATTTTGAATAACCTTTCGAATTTATTTTGTTTTAGGTATAGAAGGAAAGATGGAACGATTGTCTACGCAAACGCAGGAATCAGGCTTTGTTTCCATGCATTCTCAACGAAGTTCATCCCAAAGTTATACCACCGCGTCCAGCATGACATCCAAGAGATCGTCGCAGCAGAGCAGCATTAGTTATAATTCTCAATCGTTTAGTGCACAGCAACAGTCGTTTTCCCAGACCAAATTATCCTCGGACAGTAACGGCTCTATTTTTACACAGAAAACGATGAGTAGTTCAAAAAGTACTATTAGCACGACCAACGTGTCTGGAAATGGGGACCCAGTTTTATTAGAAAAATCGGTAAATATGGGTGTTATTACGTTTTATGTTTTTGTTTTATTCTTATTTTTACTTTATATGTTCTAATCTGTTTTTTTATAATTTAATCATTTGGATGAATCTATGTGTAGGAAGTGGACTCGGTAGTTACATCCGATTCCAATGGAGCGCCTCCAGCATTGCCAGAGAAGCGGTCAAAGCGAAGAAAAGAACGGCAGCCGTCGCAGTATGACAACGTACCAGAAAATGAGCATTTGTCCACGTGCACCTTACACACTAGTAACGGAGATGGTTCAGATGCCAACAAACCGCCCCCTCTGCCTCTAAAGAAGCGGCACAGTAAGTAGTCCTTTTAATTATCAGTATTGCAATGAGATAAAAGAAAACAGCAGATTATTTAATAGTGTTGATGGTTAGTGTTTTTACTTTTCCGCTGTCAATTTTAAAATACACGAATTTTGAGAAATACCACATTAACAAGTACTCCTCGCGAGCTAGTGTAATAATCTTGCAAAATAATTAAATGATCTTTATGTATGTATAATTAATACAAATCAGTCAACACGCAAGTAATACACAAATAAAATAATATATAGACATTCGAAATTACCTTTTGAGTAGGTTAAAACTGATGCAATGTTTTGTATCCCCCAGTGTTCCAATCAGTGGCATATTCTGGTAAGTGGGATCCTGCCCACACAATTCAACTATCCCCCCGGCAAACATTTTCACGCTAAGTTAATATCCTATGTTTCACACATTTATATCAGATTTTTAATTCCAGGCTTCTCTTGCGGCATGTTTTCTATTTTTATACTATTTTTTATTACCTTTTTTATCTATAATATTTTTAGAATATGACATTGTTTGATATTGAGCTTGGAATTTAATTAATAATTGCAGCTTATTCGTGGCTTATTTTTAATTTGCATCATACAATAATACGGAGGTTCTTGCTATGATGCTGATTATTATGTACTAATTAAAAACATATTTTTGATTGGTATAATGTATAATATATATTATATTCATCAATATCATGTATATCATATATACATATATCATATATACATTAATACTATCTATTTTATATTTCAATAAATTAGCAATAAATCAGCACGTAATTATGGCATATAGTTGAACTTTTCTTTAGTTATGGGAATGCTAGGAGTTATTTTTCACAAAGGTTATTTTTCTATATTTAAAATATAGAATATAAAACATTTTACAAGTTTTCTACAATTTATTAACCCGAATGAAAGACAGTTCTGGCGAACTGACGTAGGCGTTGTAATCTTTTTTTTTTAATTAATTTGACCTCCTTCTGACTAATAGTCAGTTAATAGCTGCGCTTCATCAGCTGTTGAACAGCTGTTAAAGCTTAGTTTCCGTTCTTACGCCAAGACAAACGGGCTTAAAACTAAAGAATGTAGTGAATACTAAAGTATAAGAATTGTTAATGTGAAACATTCTTAACTTATATAACACTTTTAAGTTTACAATTACCAGAGCACTTATTTCCATTTTGCAATAGCACAAGTTGCTGATATACACCAGCAATACGCAAAATGTTGTTCAAAAGATTCCACTTTCATTCCAGTGAGTTTAACTTTTTCATTTCTATACGTCGCTTATCGAAATAACAATTACACAAGATTTGTTTGTGCATCAGTGTTTTCATTGCGATCCACACACACACATCACGTGCTTTAATATTTTATTTAAGATACACACCGTGCTTGCATTCATTCGACTGTATTATACGCCATTTAAAGAATTCAGTTTTTATACAGAATAATTTATATAATAACACCAGTTAGCCTTTCTGATGAAATTCACGTTAATCCACTCATTTTCACGTATTTCAGTTATGGCATACATGGAGATGTTTGGAAACTGCTCCCACAGCAACAATGATTTCATCTCTGGTCTCGGTACACGTCATTCCGTAGCAGCCTACAATTCGATGCAAGCGGAATGGCAGCAGCACGAGATGTCCCTTACCACAACCCAATCGTGTTCCTTTATGACGCACACTGTGACTGCTCTACATGACAGCTCAAGGTATTACTATATTAGTTACATTCATTTTTATTATCTTTATTTGCTTTTATTATAACGATACTCTTGGCAAGTACTGAATTATTAAAGAGTCACAGAATCATCACATAAAGTCGTATTTTTTTTTTTTCTAGCCTTTCTGTGACCACGACGCCGAGTTTAGTAGAGACAACAAATAATTCTAGTCTGCCCCCGGCATTACCACCAAAGAGATCTCGTTCCATTAAATCAAATATTACGCCACCACCAGTATCACCAAAACCGATCGTTAGCACGCAGAGTATTCATAACTCGGATCCTCTCGTGACATCAACCCCTCTAAAAACAGAGGAGCCAGCGTACGCACATGAAAAGAAAGATGTTACACCTTCCACTCCCGTAAAATTGGTAAACATTAATGTAATAATTTTATTGCGTTATGGAACTACAATTAGTCAGTGCGTATTAATACGATTGTAATCGTTTAATTACAGAATAATAATGTTATCACGGACACAGTGTTACCATCGTCTAGACCTGCTAGTAATGCACTTTCTTCCATATCAGTTGATGAAAATACTCTTGAGCTACGAGATGTCGATCAAGATGATAGCATTTTAGACGAATTAGATATTAATAAACATTTAGAATATAAAAAGCAAGATGAAGAAGGTCCAGATATACGTGGTGGACATCCAGATGCATTATTAATTCTTGCGACGAAAGCAAATAAACATGGTATACACTTTTTCTTAGTTCATTAAACGTAAGATACATAAAATTAGAATTTTAGTGAGCAATTTAGTTTTATAAAAGTTAGAATAATTTCTGAACACGTATTTATTAGATTTATTTATCTTTTTTTATGCTGCATAGACGAAAAAGAACCAGGTAATTGATGAAATATTTAAAATATAATATTGCATATAAAAAATTATGAATATTATGGGTGAAGATGAATGAATTGAATTTTATTCTAAATTTTAATAAAAACAATGGCACTTTTTGCAGATTTCCTGTATCAAGAAGCATTTTTAACGACGTACCGAACCTTCATGCAACCATTAGAGCTAATTCGTAAACTTCATAGACGTCATCAACGTTTTTCATGTTCTCCAGATGTTGTCAAACAAAGAGCCGCGCGTGAAGCATTTTCTTTACTTGTTAGAGTCGTTAGTGATTTAACGTAAGTAGAAACTTTTATCTATATTAATTACACTTTCTTATATCTTTACGTATCTTGATTACGATTTATAATATAATTAACTATTTTACAGAATATCTGATCTTGATGACACTCTTCTACAAACATTGATGGAATTTGTACAGCAATTAGTGTGCAGCGGGGATCTCACTATGGCTAAAGCGTTGCGAGTTAAAATTTTAGAGAAGCACACTATGAAGCAATTACAAGCAACACAACCGATTCTCTCGTCTCTAAGTGTAACAACGAAACAAGCTTCCCTATTAGATTTTAAAAGCGAACAGATTGCGGAGCAAATGACGCTGCTTGATGCCGATTTGTTTATGAAAATAGAAATTCCGGAGGTGCTGATTTGGGCGCAAGAACAGAACGAAGAGAGAAGTCCGAATCTCACGAGATTTACTGAACATTTTAATAAAATGTCATACTGGGCACGATCCAGAATATTAGAACATCGATTAGAAAATGAGGCGAAAGACAGGGAGAAATACGTCGTGAAGTTCATTAAAATAATGAAGCATCTTAGGAAGATTAACAATTTCAATAGCTATCTCGCATTATTATCTGCATTGGATAGTGCACCCATTAGGAGACTTGAATGGCAAAAGCATATCACGGAGGGCCTCAAGGAATATTGTGCTCTCATTGATAGCTCTAGCAGCTTCCGAGCTTACAGGCAAGCTCTAGCAGAAACGCAACCGCCATGTATTCCTTACATGTAAGAACTTGAGTATTGTTGCTCAAAAATATGAAATTTTAATTTCTTCTACCAACGACAACGCATTGTTTTCCTTGTTTCAGCGGACTCGTTTTGCAAGATCTTACGTTTGTGCACATTGGAAATAGCGATTTATTACCAGATGGCACTATAAATTTCTCCAAGAGATGGCAACAATTTAATATTGTTGAAAATATGAAAAAATTTAAGAAAGGGTAAATGTTTGCTCACACCAAATCCTTGATAAAAATCTTATAATGTCATAAATCATTGCTTATGTGTGATTATTATCTTACAGCACGTACTCTTTCAAGAAACACGAACGCATTATGACGTTTTTCAACAACTTCAGCGATTTCCTCTGTGAGGAGGCGATGTGGCAGATATCCGAGAGCATCAAGCCACGTGGTGGCAAGAAAGCACAGCCGCAAAACTAGAATATACCTAACCCTTTCACTGCCTGCGTGTCGAAAGGCTGAAACAGTGAATTAGGAAGTTCGTATTTATGTAGGTACACACATTTTTGCGAGAAAAAAAAATTAAGCGAGGGAAATTCTTTTACAAGAACGCTCTAGGAGCGGTGAAAGGGTTAGCGAGTCTATCCCATTCGACAGCCTCTGTGAGGTTGTGTCTTATAATCGTGAAAATTTTAGTATGCAAAACTGTGAACTCTTCCTATTTAACACATTCAATACAACATTACGCGTTACTTAACTTTGAAATAATTACGTTTGCGAGCATCAATCAGAGATCAAAACGCCAAAACCCGGATCCACTAGAGAAAAGAAATTTCGATACGTTAGATAAACTCACAATCAGTATGTATCCCAGTGCATTTTAAGCAATCTTTCCATTTACTGCAAGCCAATATAACATATTTGCTACGAGGATATGCAATCTATACTTAAACGCAAGCTGTAACGATGTTTATCGTAATGTTAAATGAAGGAAACCCCGATCTTTAGCTGTTCTAGATACCGCAAAGAACAATTTATTTATTTGCCTTTGCTAGCGAATTGTATAAAGTAGTACGTGTCCTTTCTTTTCTTCTTTAATTTATTTAGATGTATGTGAACGTCCATTTCTAGCTTTATTGTAGGTAAGCAAATTTTCGAGCGTCAACAGAACTGCTGTTGATTACACAAGGATGAACACCAATTACGTTGATTAATGTAGGGCCATTGTAGTCTCGTGTTTGCGCTCTGATGCGCGCGTATCGGGACACATGGTACACGACTGAGCGCAACTGTTACATATACTATTGTATATGATGATAGAGAAAACACTTTTTTGTTGGCAACTTGTTAATAGGTCTCCGAGCTTTCAGCTTTAAATCACATGGTTTACCACGTAATTAGATTAAATTAAATATGAACTATATAACGGAAAGGAAATTGAATGAAAGTTTGATTTGAACTCGATAACTTGTCACATTGTATAGACGGTATTTTAATTTTATAAAAAAATCTAACCTCTTCAAAACTCTAACTCTTACATAATACATTCCGTAGATCAAAAGGGGAGAATCAGATTAATTTGTATCGCCGTTGAAAGTACACTGTATTCTTTTATATTTCGTTCTAATATTTAACGTATATTGATACAACTTTTACTCGTAGATACAGCAGTGTGAGAGACGTTGCCATATAATGATTTAGCAGTTTGCGTGCCTCGTCTTGAGTGGATAAAATGAATGAATTCACCTTTTTATCGTTTTTCAGTTTATTCATTTAGCAAAATTTTACTTTATTTTTAATTTTTTTTTAAATAATAGCGAGTAAATGTATACAAGTTACAAAAAATTTACTGATTCTCAAACTTCATCTTTAATGTGAATACGCACATGTATAATACCAAGATTTGTAACACCTAGTGATACCTACAGCAACAAAAAAAAGGGCCTAAGCATTTAGTTAACAATTGATGTCGTTCTAGTGCAAAAACACGGGTAATAACAATCCAGATAAGTTAATTGCCAGGATAAATTTTAAAAAGTAGTTACAAAGCTGCCATATATGAAAAGTTAGTGTCTCAATAGGTTGAATTCTACAGAAAACTAGAGACTATCATCCGCAGACTTAGATAGAAAGGTAAAATCTGATCTCTTCATCCTTGACAATTGCATTACTTGATGTTTATGGCAACTGCGTATGGAGGAAATTCTTGATTAAAAACTAATGTGATAAAATTGGCTAATAAGCAATGTAAGCAACATTGTATATATAATGTTTATTAATTAAGTTTGTTTATTTATGTCATTTATTGTAAAACCACCGTTTGTAGAATCTTTTGGGGAAATAATTAGCTACATGCATAATATGTAACACGTATGCATTGTAGCAGCGATAGTATGTATACTAGTATTACTTCCACATAGGTATATATATATATGTATATATATGTATATATATATATATATATGTATATATATCGTAAATATTTGATTCACACTATGCGCGAGTGAATGCCAGTATGCGTCTTATGGTTTTGTCCACCTTTTAGCTGAAGTCAAATGATTTACTCGATGTAGGAAGTAAGCAGAGATCTATTAACGCTGTAAATAATTTTATTGTACACATAATTGAATTTATCGCGCGTGTATCTACCATTATATCGGTAATTGTAAATGTACAGTGCATTGCATTGGCGTTAGTAATTCTTAAGTTGATCGAGAATCGAGAATTGTGATGTCATGTTAGGTTCGCACATGCATGATTTTTTTTTTATATCGTTTTAATTGCGAATTAAACGGCAAGCGATCACGCAGTCGAATTGTTTTATCTTTCTTTTTTTCAATCTCTGTCAGATTATATTTTCTTGAGGCAGCTCTATTTTTACATGTAGGCTTTCAACGACATCTTCACCTTCCGATGTCGATATACAACTGATGTTTATATTTTGTATGATATTTTTGGAAACTCTGGCGATGGTCGGAAAGGCCTTCCTACGACTATCATGCGTATTTCCGGACTGTATCATAATTTCTATAAATCGCGCGAAGATTTTGTCACGACTATCGGCAGAATTTCCCTTTTACTATATTACATTACGAATATATGTATAAGTAAATATATAATTTTAAGTACTGTATTACCAAAATACGAGTGAGATGATCCATTGAATGTGCAACGAAGAAATTAAACTCGATATACCGACTTAGATAGGCCAATTAAGCTGCTTCGCGAGTAGGAAGTTGAGTTGTTAAGAAGAACGGAGAAACAATTGCCGCAATTGCTTTCCTCGTCGCGCTCGATTAACACAACTATAAAACTTAGGGTAGGATAGGCGGGTAACGTGACTCTTTTTTTTTTTTTTCTATCGTTTGCTGAATGTCACTTAGCTTCGGGGGAACAGTCTGTAACGGGAAAAATGGACTCTAAAGAGCAATCGCTGTTAACTTTAAAGATTACGAATCGAATATCGTGTAATTTATTGCATATATACTCTCGGACTTCTAAGGCGAGGCTTATTTGCGAACTCTCGAGGATCCCCAATCGTACAATATTTATTGCATTGTGTATATATATATACGTATGTGTTGTTAATCTAGTCTAACAATACGCGATGCGAAATTGCGTTGTCAATATCTTAAACGTATACACTTCAGCGTTCGAAGTTCTAAAGAGAAGAAAAAAAAGACTAGAGATTTTTCCACGTTTCGGAAAACGCGGACCTGCGTCGGAATTGTTTGGCCCTTCCTCCCGTGTCGCGCGTCGGGCTTCCCCTTTCTCCCCCCCCCTTCGGCCGGGCGTGAATTTTGCGCGCGGCTCGAAACTCTGGTGAAATCAAATCAAATAACTCTCGCCGAACGAATGGATTTTTTCTGCGTGTACCGTCGAAATGGAATAGCGATAAGAGTACGAGGAACTCGCGCAAACCGTCACGTCGGTTTCGCGCCGGTCTTCGTCCGTAGCGTGAATACCGAATAAGTAAACCGAAACAAGTAATAATCGCTATCGATGTGTTTTACCAAGTCCTTCGTCGAAAGATTACATGTATGTAAAACTTTGCACTCGCGTAGATCTCACGGTAAATATTTAGGAAGTATCACGCATACATTAAGAGTACGTATCGACGCTTTCTCGTTGATTTACATTTCGTAATATTTATTGCCGCAGTGACAAAGACGACATATCCGTAAAACACTACTTATAGAACGATAAATATTAAATAGGGGGACGAAAAAGAAAGAGCGAGTGTAAGATGTGTGTATTAATTAGATACTGTCTAAAAAAAACTTTAATGATCTAGAAATTGATTCAGTTTTGCTTACGCCGCGTAATAGCAAGCACGATAACGATCGTAATATAAATTTTTCTGTTTTATATATTATATATACACACACATAGGATGTTTCAAAAATAGATGACCAAATTTTAGTATTCTACTTGCTAAGAATGAAAAAATCATATAAACATGAACTAAAAAATGCTTTTTTTCTGTTTTAAACATTTACAGTAAAAGTTCTTAATAATAATTACCTCAATTAGTGAATTGGCAAACGGAGATTAATTATATGATCTGCATGTGTTCCCGAGGTTTAAATTTTTTAGATTTTTATGAAATCGTTTTTCGTTTAATGATGTTCTTGATGCTGCTGTGAAAATTTCTCTGAAATCATATTGTCATTTTGTGTGATAAAATGCGAAATTTTTAAAATATTTTGAGTGATAAAATCTATGAGACGTTGGTGCGAGAAGCATACATTTCTGCAGAAGAATGTTATTTCTAACACGTTTCTTTAAAGAAGTGTTCCTTATTAATTTCTGCCGTTAAAGTATTTTAGAGAATTCAACGGGGAACCACTATGATTATTTCTCAGAATGTCGCTGTAAAGGGCAATCAATAAAAATAAAGACTCCTAGTCTTAGGATAGCCTTTTAATGGGCAAGTCGGCTCCCTTTAAAATCGCCAACGTCAGGGAGATCTGAAATGGCACGCTAAAGAAAAAGATTCTAGAAAGAAAGATTTCTTTCCCGGGCTCACATTCTCATCTGATTTTTTTCTACTCTTGTCACAAATATAGTGCGCTCTTAAAATTTAGCCACTTATTTCTGAAACGTCCTGTAAAGCGAGACACACACGCAAAGTGCAGAGAAAACAAATTACGCGCATTTCAAACGATCAAGATTGTTAACTGCGTTGAGAGGTGTTTTAGTTTGAAAGTTACGAAATAAATCTGCAATTTGAAAGAAGCGGCTTTTCAAAGTGTGCACACGGTCGAACGTGGAGGATACAGATCTGTGTTTGCGTCCAGTATCCGGGCGTCTCTGTGGAACAATAGTCAATAAAAAAAAAAAAATTAGCAATTTAATCTGAACGTAAAAAAGAGAAACGAAAGAGAAAGTATAGCGGTATAAAAATCGATGTGTTTCGAGCGCTCACATTTTGAATATAAGCAATATCTCGCTGCATTTAAACAGGAAACTCCCTTCGGGCTCTGTGCGTTACGAGTAGCAGCTATTTCGCAACAATCGCGACAATGGGACAGCAACTCTCGGGACTTTTATTAAAATGCACATCCGTGTACCGCGACGCGTTTCCCGATCGATCTTAATACACTCGTGTAATAACGCGTGTATTCAATATTCGTATTATCTGTCAAGAAGCGTACAGGACGTACTTTTTAGACCGTTTAGACCGTGTTCCTCGAGGGGAAAGGCGGGCATCATTCAATATTTTACGGAATATATATGTGTATCGTTCGTAGGGATCTTCACGAAAGTGTGCACCATTTAACGGTGAGGTACATACAATTATATCGAGGAAAAAATAGAAACGGACAATTGATTAAGAAGCATATCATTTGTAAGTACGTGATATTACTAAGTGTCACCGCGACGTCCCTCTTGACTACGCTGTAACGATGTAACAGGTTTTAACTGAGCACACACACACACAAAACACACACACACACGGGTGATCGACGGGTGAAACGTCGCCCGTTTGTACAATCATCGTGCTCACACACACGCGTTTTCATCGTATATACAACTTTATTCCGTAGCCTATCGTCATATTTTTCTATCTGTATTTTTTAGTACGGTCCACACACATCCGTGTACGCGACAACGCGTCACGGGATACGACGGATACGGAATTTGTATTCCGGGCGATCTTTCCATGTCGGCGCAATCAATGTTCAATCGTCACTTTCGCGAAAACTTGTATACCCTTACGCGGATATATATATATAAAAATATATATATATATATATATTTTTCCTCCTTCCTTTGTATTAACGGACGATTTGTATGCGTAAAGAGTTTTGGGTCAAATGTTATTGCTTTCTTTGTAATGAATGTACGAAGAAGTGAAATAAAAATGTGTTAGTCGATGGTACTTCCGCAGTTTTTGTAGCCAGCTGCGTTTCCGTTTGCCTTCAATAGAAAGGAATCGACACGTTAATGATCAAAGGCTTTACATTTTGCTTATATGTTTGATGCTCGCCTAATGTGTAATGTTTATGAAGAACAATAGTTATGATAGTAGAATATTGAATTGTTAAGTATTTTATTTGAAGAAATTGATTTTTTTTAAGAATTTTTTTTAAATATTATTTTATCACAGCTGGATTATAAGCTCTTCAATTTTTAGTTGGAAATATCAGAAATTAGAAAATATCAACAGCTTATATTTAAATATTAATATTATGAAATTGGGATCAAATTAAAATCTATGGCTTGATTTTGATAAGATATCAAGTAGCAAATTTATTGCTTCTTCATGAAACATAGATTGAAAACTATAGTACAAATAGAGAAAGAAGAGAGAAACCGAAGTTATAACGAGTAACGAAAAATTCAAATGCCAGAAACATTATAACGAAAGAAGAGAAAGACATGCGTTGTAACATAAATACCTCGATAAATACTATTCGTATATTACAACTCATACACTCGTACATTACATCAGACATCTGCTGTATTTTTCATATAAATCTATTATATTTATTCAAGGCTATTCGTCCTAGTTTCACTCTGCTGGCTCAAATGTATAGTGTAGTACACCCTGTTTTGGAAACTGCCTCTCCATCTAAAAAAAAAAATATACAATCGTGAGATATCTAATTTAAACCAACCACTGAACTGTAACCGCTGACACCGAAAATGCTGTTTGTAGTACTGACCCTCGGATGAACGGTCGGATAAGGTGCCGCAAAGTAAGTGATCGTCGCCAAAGTGAGCATGGTTAAAACAAATATTCCGGTTGCGAGACGCGGATCAATTCTGTACTTGTAGCCGTAGCTGAAACGATCCTCGCCCATAATTTCGAAATTGGGGTGCAGCTGGAAGGAGGATACAGAGGGGATACCGTGAGATCATCGTGACGAATTTCAGAAGCCTCTCGTACCAACTCCGTGAACTCACCGTCTCATGATAATTCTTCCTGAACACCGGTATGTCGTAAGGATAATACGGATCTTTAGCGGCCGGTCCTACCATGGGCAGCTCTGGATAGTCACCCAAACATCGCTCGGGATCCTGACAGGGTTTATACTCCTTCGGATGTAAATGATACTTCTCGGCAATCTTGTCATGATTCTTTTCGTCGTACTTTTGCGGTTTCCAGATGTAGTTCCACGGCAACGCTAATGGCAAACGATAAGGAACTTTCGGTCAGGTTTTCAGCATCACACCAATTACAAGATAAATCGTTCGATCTCCCACACGTGCTTGTACGCGTGTTCCTTCGATGCTAATTCTTTAGATCGGGTCTTACTCTGTGTCCCTTACTGAATGTGATACAAATAATAATTTAATTATATAATGACAGCCAGTAGTAATCCTAACCTCATCGCAGTACTCGGTGAAGCAGCAAATCTGTTTGTATGAAACGCGATGACGACCAAGTTGAAAAGAACGTTGAAAAGACAGTTACTTACGCGTGTCGGAGTAGCATCTCACCGCGGCGTACAGGCACGCTTTGTTTTTCAACAATCGAGTTGATAGTCCGCCGAGCTCGCTCATTAAAGCCATCTCTCCACTGTGTTATAACCTACAAAATATTGAACTTGTTCTTTTTGCAGCTGCACTATTATTTTCTACACTTAAGATAAAACGGACATTATAATTGGGCGTTAAACGGAGAAAAAGAAAGATGAAAAAAGAGTTACAAATTTTGAAGCTATTCTAATTTATTGTAAACATATGTATTTTTTACATTTTCAGTTTTACCTCTTTTTCCTTCTAATATCTCCTTGTGTATGTACGCAAGGGGTGCGTTCTATTTAACGCTCGCAACGCTCTTGGAATCATTTCATCCTTGTTGTTTACCAAACGTTAAACAAGGACAAGTAATGCTCGCAAACGTTGCGAGCGTTAAGCCGGGAGCACAGGCTTTTGTAGTTCGAAACACATATAGGTGTAGTACATACATACATACTGTTAACGCTAGCTCGAAGTGCTTGAACGCGGCCGTAGTGTGATATTTGAAAGACAAAAGTGGCTGGTTCGAACTGAAAAAGATTGATGGAGGAGCAAACGCGAAAGAAACCTTACTGCACATACACTTATCAGCTACATTTTCAGTCTTTGTAGCTGAATTTTCTGTGTGTTTCATGTTTTCTTTCTTTCTCTTCAACATTTACACACTTATTTTATTTGAAGTGCAGAAAATATATATAATTTGCAATCCAATATGAAAGATCTGGTCAGATTCTGTACTCTGTTTGAAATCCTCAAAAATTTCTGCACTTTAAAGCGAGATAATTACACGTTCGGACGTTAGAGAGAGAGAGAGAGAGAGAAAGCGAAGATTTGATAGCGTTTTTGGACGGAGCGGGTTTGCTCCGAGAGCGATTAAATTAATTCAGACACATGCTCTCCTCGTCCAATCAGAAATCTAAAATAGAGCAACAAGTGCACGCGGCATAACAGATCGAACAGATTTATAATTCGCATCTAGATATTCGCGCTTCATGACTGTTGAGTTCGACCGTCGAGCGTCGACACTGGCCGACAGCGTTGCTTCAGAAGATGTCTGTCTGTCGATGACAGTTTGATTATTTCTTTATTCTATTTGACAGTTCGAAAACAATTTTCCCAGCTCGCTGTCGGACAACAATCATGATGTATGAATAAACTAGATGCGATGCGCTTGACGCTCGGAAGTAGGTATACGTTTTCAAGGCGGGAAAGAACACATTGACCACTTTTCTTGTACACGCACGCGTGGTCGATGGAATCAATCAAATACAAACGATCAATGAATTAACGGTCGAGTGTTAATTCGATTTTTTCCCTTGAATTATTGAATTAATTGTCATTCGATTCAAATCGATTAAATATTAATATCGCAACTTGAGAGAGTCCTGAGATCGAATCAGTCGTTCCTAACCGTAATTACCCCGCGGATCAGGGAAGATCATCAACACGCCGGTCGCTCGACAATGCGGTTCAACGCCGTCCCGCTGAAAAATCTCGCGTACGTACGATACACCGAGCATCGCGCGTGCACTTCTCGTTCCGTTACTCTCGGCTGGCATTCTCGTTCGACCCATCGGGCAAACTCCTGTGGCACGCTCTGCGGAAGCGACGCGAACGCCATGTTCGGCCATTGGTCGGCCGAACCTCACCTCTAACACGAGCGAGCGAGCGAGCCCGAGGAGAGTGGAAATATGGCGGATGGCGTGCGTTTTTCGGAGTCGTACGGCACAGCGTAAGCGCCGTTGTTCTGCGTGTTCCGCGTATCTCTGACAGGAAGTTCGCGCGTGCGGTGCCACACGTTGGAGATGAGCGCGGCGCGTCCGCCGCGATAACGTGAACGCCGGATACGGTACGTAGCGGCCCCCGAGGGCGGGCGGCACCACCGTTCGGCGCGACCCGCGACGGGGTACAACGCATCGCAAGAGCAACACACCGCGCTTCGGCTCCGCTGCTCCGGTTTGCTCCTCACACGGCTTCGCCTCCGTCCCGCGAAACCGTCGTGCTCGTTTCGTCGGCGCGGTGTGCTCTCGAGCGCGGTGCCCCGTTCGACTTTCCGAGTTCAGAGAACAGTCCGCCTTCGACGTCAAGAGGTGAGAAAGAGAGAGAGAGAGAAGGAAAGAGAGAGGTGGACTGTTCTGCTCTAAGGCCTCCCCCGGAGGATGCAAAAACTCTCTTGGGCGACCTGGTAGCTTTCAAGCGAAAGATTACTCTCCGTTTAAGTACGTTTGAAGTTGAATCAAGCTGCATTTCTTACGCGTTTGTTAAGAGAGGCACAATGATTGTGGGAGGTCACACATGTTTCTCATGTTATTGTCGTAGATGGACAGAATTTAATGCTGTCTTCTCACGTTTGCATTCTGTTGCGACTTTCAGGAAGTGAAATCAGATAAACTGGAATCTTTCGAACGTAATAATATGGCGAGCCCGTCGCCGCAGTCCTCGCCCATGCCACCACCGCAAGCGCCTAGCCCCATGGGGCCTCCGCAGCAGGCGCCGTCCCCGTCTAACGCGCAGGGCAGCCCGATGGGACCGCCGCAGCATCATCCTCACAGCCCGACGCAGGGCTATCAAGGTGGACCACCGGGTGGGCCGCCCATGTCCCAACCGCCGCAGCAACCGCCACCCCAGCAACAGCAGGGTTATCCACCCCATCCACAGCAGATGCCACCTAACATGGGTCCACAGGTATGACGGACGTATCAGCTGTTATCTGGGGACGTTGAGTGCTTTTCGTTTAGTGGACGCAGTCATAAATGTCATTTCATGCCTTCTTGGTATGTAATAAGTAATGAAGACACGATGACTTCTTCCTTTTCTTCTTTTTTTTTGTGACCTTTGTTCTCATGCGAGTTGCGACACGGCCAAGAAGACAGAATGACATTTATTCCAACTTGTGTCACTAAATGGAAAGGGCATAAATGACAGAATGTAACATAACGAATCATTATATTCTTGCTGTTTGCCAATTTTGGCAATGTTAAACAAGAATGAAACTATTCACTGTGTTGCTTTGTGTCATCTCTGTTTCTTGCTGGAAAACGTCCTGTATCTATGCTATTTTCTTATGGGTTGTCTACAATAAGTCGATACTAATAGATCAGAAGTTAGAAACTGGTTAACTGGTAACTTTTAAATCATAAAAAATGGAATTTGGCCATCTCCACACAGTCACTAATTACTAATTTGTTATTACGTTATGACACTTTACTAACTCAATTTGCTCCTGACTTCTGATTCATTGCTAACGGTTTATTATAAAAAGCCCATTAGAGTTATGCCTTATTATTTTATAATTGTGCATGTACAGGCATAGATTGTGAGATAAGCGAGAAGGGAAGTCTCTTTGTTTGATCGGTTTTGATCGATTGAGTTAAATATCGAAAATCAGTCTGGTATAAATATGATATATTTATTTATTATCAATACTATGAACATTTAATAATACTAATGCAACTATTGAAATATACAATAACTATCAGTGCAGAAAAGAGGTACAAGATATATCAGTCCTGGATTGTAGTCTTTTAAATTTTGTAAATCTAATGCAGCTTTTAAGCCACATTTAGTAATACTGTATTTTTAAGTCTGCTTATAATATATATATATATATATGTATATATACATATGTATATATTATATGCAGTGTGTGTGTTGTTATATAATGAGACATATAATGTACACTACATCAATATAATCAATTTAAGTTTTTGTTAAGTATCTCGGAGTCGGCTTTCTTAACAAGATCCACAAGTTGTTGTGCAATTTGCTGATTACATGCCGCTATGACCCTTGGAATCATCAGATCCAGTTCTCCCCCTGTAAATAGACAGATTTTCGGTATTTAATCGAATTTTTTTTCATATATATAATGAAATATAAGATAGCGAGTTTCGAAGTCAGGGAATAATCGGAAAAATAAATTCGTAATAATTGTTGAGATTACGTGCAAATGACGAAAGAGTAATATTTACCAGCGGTGTCTATCACAACTCCACCTGCTTCTTCGATTATTAATTTCCCTGCTGCAACGTCCCAGGCATCGATACCTTCGATATGATATGCCTCCACAGCTCCCATTGCTACGTAGCACAATGTAAGCGCTGCTGTTCCTAGTGATCTTATTCTGAAAGAGAAACAAATTGTTGTCATTTTTGATAATTTTTGAGCTAATTGACACTTACATTTAACGTACGTTTGAAATGTTAAAAATAGTTATTTTTAAATTAAAAAAAATATATTACCCATGAGTTCCTTGTACTAAAGCGTGCATTCTGCTATAGACGCTGACTAAATGCTGAGGATCCTTTGCGAGCCATGGTTCCATGGCCACCAATGATTGCGATATGTCTGGAAAGAACATAGATATGTATGTAATTATACATATTTTTTTTTTAAGCACCTTATGTATTAAAATGGAATAATCATTTGGGCGGGCAAAGCAAATAGACACATTGTAGCTGTCCGACGTTTGAAAGTAATTGCCTTACGAAGGTCGTAATATTAACTGATGTTCATATAGCTCTCTGTGGTTTTAATAGATATTAGATAACCTTCCACTGGACCGTAAAACGATGTATTTCTTACACTCATTTTCAGCAAGGTCACCATGGTATAGCAATACGTGAAAATTCTATTCGTGTGTTTCTATGTTATTACATGCTAGTGTATGCGTGCTTCTAATATGAAAATATCTTAAGTTTGTAGAACGACTTACCTTTGATGTCGGAGGTTTTGATGGGCTTCCCATTGAGGAAGGCACCGCAGTGCCTCCTCGCCGAAAAGAATTGCCTCATAAGGGGATTGTATATTATCCCGATTTCCACCTTCTTGTTCACTAGAAACGCCAAAGAGATGCACGTATGTGGAAAGCGGTGTACGAAATTGGTGGTACCGTCTATCGGGTCTATTATCCACGTAGGATCATTGGTCAGCTGCGGTAGACAGCCTTCCTTCGCTGCCGTTTCTTCTCCGATAAATCTAAAAAAATTGAATCTCGTTACAGCCGTCTCGTTATTGGCCTCGTTATTATGTGGCTGACTGTCTTTTAATCACGATCACTTACTTGTGCGATGGAAACTTTATCGACAATTGTTTTATTAATTTATCTTCTATTTTGCGGTCGTATTCTGTGACAAGATCCCAGTCAATCCCCTTGCTCTTGACATTCTTTCTGCTACTGATACCATCTTCTATTACCTATACAAAAGGTGAAATTCTCATTCAATAGGTTTCGTATAAATTCTTGTCTTTTTTTTTATCTTGAAATGCTATTCAGAAGAGTAGCATTTCAAGATTAAATAAGACAAGAATTTCGACTTTCTAATACAGAACACGTCACTGAGTTTCTTCACGATCGAGAAAGGGACTTCCCAATTACTTTGTTATTTGAGCGATTTTCCTTTGGTTCTTCGAATTTTTTTACATTAATATTACTCTGCGTGAAAATTCATCTACATCATAAGAATTTTTTTTACACTTTTTTATGTCTACTTATAGGTTGCAAGGTGTTAACATAATTGAGCTAACATTATTTTAATAAATGAATGTTAATGTTAAACAATTTGTCTAATAGCAAATACTTGAATTAGCACTTAAGTGAAAGTTCATTTATAAAAAAAGCACAATAGCAGTACTAGGGTTAACATTTTTTTTTAATCGGAGAAATTCATTAATTATTTATGGACATTCCATCAAGAGTCTTTTTAATAAGAAATATAGTCAATTTGAAATTTATTTTGCCGCATGTTTTTATGATAAAGCTTTAATTTATGAATTTATAAAAGCGTATCAGATAAGTTCAAATAAAGTGCAGTGTATCGGAAAAATTAGCTAAGAATATAAATTTTGTTATTTTGGGATATAAGTTTTACTTTTCTATTCGCTTATAACTCAAACTTATTATTATCCAATATTTTTGCTAACAATAAGAAAAGCTCAGATAATACATTAAAGCCGATAATACATTAAATTTTTATCTATGAGGCACGAAAAAAGAAATAAAATCACGAAATTAATCGAAAATAATTTGACAGTCTATATGCCTTTTAAACGTACATTATAAATTTAATAAATTGCTAAATAAATGATTAATATAAATTAATTTAATAAATTTAATAATTAAGTTTTAATCTCAAACTCATTTGTCATAATAGTGACAGATATAATTTTATATAGAATTAGAAGATTTATAACTGAAATAAATTACGTTTAATATATTAAAGCTCTTGAAAGTCGTATCTGATAATTTGATTCTCTTATATCGAAATGTTTACAAATCAAATATTAACCAGATTGAAATTAATCGTATAAACATCTCGCACTTGTGACTTGGCAGTTATCTAGCTATCGCGCTATCTCGCAACGTGAAATGTTGCAATATTCACTTATCGTTCTTCGAAATAATAACGCACCTTTCCTGCGTACAAGACCAATTCTTCAGCTACTCCGTAACATTCGTCCAAATTATTTAGCTCGCACATCTTTCCCAATCGTCTTTCTGTCTTCCCGGTATTTAATGAACGGTGAATCTCTCGTGAAATCTTGCAAGCTTGCACGGCGGTTTCACAAACACTCGTCGATTCGATATCAGGGCGCCGACTGAGACTGATGCGCACTCCCGAGACTGTCAACGTGCCAGGTAGGATGTACGAATGAACGTCGGAGGTAGGAACGGCCGAAACTTATCTTATACGGCCGATGATCGCGAAAGTTTTATCCGGCGCGCGATATGACGTCAGAGCGCAGAGCGGGAAGGCACGTTTGTCGTAAGTTGATTACGCACGGACGGTGAGTCGGAGCGGGTGAGTTTGGGGTCTACATCCTCGTCGCGGTTTCACGTAATTTTCCGCGAAAATCGTGGTATTTCTGTATATCCTTTCCGTCATTCGTCATATATATAGATCTATAATTAGATGACACATCCTGGAATATGTATTTTCCCTGCGGGGAACACTTTAAATTCTCGCCCGGAGGATCCCAGTCATTAGTCACAGTAGTGGGGAAAAAACAGATCGCAAAATCATGCTCTTTCGTGCATCTTTAATTGCGCGCCTAATTATGAAATATTCCACGCTTACGTTGGTGCTGTATAATTACCTATCTCTTTTTTTTAAATTGACTATTACAGCGCGTGACGAAAGATACCGTGAACTATTTGTAGAAACACGATCGAGGAAATAAATCATTTTGTTCAGTTGAGATAGATTTATTAACCATTTACGTGTTTACATCAATCAGATATGTAATCTATTTCTACTCCTTATTTTCTAATTAATAATACTTCTTTGAAAGGACCGAGTCTAACGTCTTCTGTTGATCCATGATATAACTGGAAGTGTACTATATTCGTGAGCAGTTCAATCATAACAGGATTTTTTTTTTATTTCAATACATATATTTTGAAACTATATTACTTTGCCCTCATGTCTACCCGTTGATCGGCCTCGCGGATGAGTCTAACGACATCGCGAGCGATCCCGTCGTTGCACGCGGCTACCGCGCGTGGCTTCATGATGTCGATCGGTTCGCCTGGAATAAGAGAGAACAAAAAAACAGAGGACGTGAAATAGTCACTCGAGCGTAACGAAAGGCGAAACAGGCGATAATTGACGATCGGGACGACGTAAAGTCGCACAAATAAAAATAAGCGTAAATGAATTGCTCGTACGCACACCTGTAGATATTTTTCATGAGATTTTTTTTTTGTCTTCCTCAAAATGCGACTGATACGGTCTACGACTTATGTCGCACCGTCGCGACCATCAGTTTAAACGACAATCCATACAAGCTATAAATATAACAACCTGTTATGCGGTCCACGACAACGCCTCCCGCTTCCGAAATGATCAACGACGCCGCGGCTATGTCCCACGTCGAAATGCCGGGACCTTCGATGTAATAGGCCTCCACGATTCCGAGCGCGACGTAGCACAGCGTTAATGCCGCCACGCCGAGAGTGCGAATGCTTCAAGGTGAAATAAATAGTGCGAGAAGTTAAAGGAACGAGAGTTAAGGTGGCCTCGTTGTCACAAAAGCCGAGACTTACCCCTGCGCCGCTTTAACGATGGTTTGAACCCTCTCCACCATCTTCTCCCGTAAATCGTCCACCTTTATGAAGCCGCATTCCATGCAGACCAGAGCTTTCGACAAGTCTGCAAGGAGAAAAAAAAAAAAAGATTTCGCCGTGCGTACGTAAACATTCGCGCGGATAATTAGGACGATTAACGTTCATGTACAATGACGCTTTCTAACTGTATCCTTGTGACACGTTTCTGAAGTGCAGTTATGATTTCTCTGGATCATTACCGGCCACGCACTTAGCGTGTTGCAATGCGCACCATTAGCAAGAGAGTCGATCTTTAATATCTGTCATTCTGTGGCTCGAAGGTAAAGAGGCAAATACCCTGAGATACGATACATCAATAGATACAATATATCTTTTTTTTCCCCTGTATATTTTCTAGCAGCAGAAGGATATTGATTGTCCTACTTTCTACAGTGTTAGTATATAAAACGTATAAATCGTCTCTTATTCCGAGATCTTGCAAACGCGAGGAACCGGTTAGGGACATTGCGAGAATTTGCTGTTTACTGCGCAGGAAGGTGTCATATATCACATTCTTTCGTTCGCATATCTTATCTCTCAAATTGCAGTGGTTATTAGTTGGTTACCTTCTACTTTAGACACTTGAATCAGTTTCCCGTTCAGAAACGCGCCCCGTCCCTTTCTAGCCGTGAACAGCTGCTCGAGAATTGGATTGTACACGATACCAAGGACCATCTCCTTTTTCACGGCCAAACCAATGACCACGCATGTATGCGGGAATCCGTGAATGAAGTTGGTGGTGCCGTCGATGGGATCTATGATCCACGTAGGAGCGTCAGTTAATTCCGGTAGGTCTTTCCCGGTCGACTCCTCCGCGATGAACCTGATACGATCGCGCACAGTTGCATTAATTCTGCCGTACTCGTGTACTATTTTGCCTGTTTTGATGACACGCGTCGTCTGAGGAATGTACCCATTACCTGTGGTTTGGGAATGCCCGTTTGAGCCCGCTGATGATGACATCCTCTATCTTCCGGTCGTACTCGGTGACGAGGTCCCAGTCGCCCAATTTCTCGTCGGCATGTTTGAAACCGTTGATGGAATCTCGCAGTATCTTAAATAATAATACTTCGTACTTGAGATGTATTACATCAAGCCGTTAAATTAAAGATCGTCGAATATTGCATAAGTAAAAGATAAAAGGATGAGATAAATAAAATTATTATAGTTGTAAAGGTAAATGCGTTTTTAACATTTTAACGCCTTTAATAAACGCGTACAATTTATGCTTGAGATGATTGCTTGGTTCGTGATATTTCACAACTTGCACGACGAATTCCGTTTTTCCTGTTGCTTCGAGTACGAGAAGATTGTTCACGATGCAGGATGGAATCGTTTATCTCTAATAGCGATCAAAAATTTGCTAATAGTCATAAAAAAGTTTAAAAACACTATTGATAAGATTGCTTATTGCTAACAGATCGTTAGCGTCGTTAGGATGTCCTCTTTATCTTCCTTAATTCAATTTTTGAAGTGACAAATCGCTGGTTGAATATAACAAATCGCTGGTTGAATATAACAAATTTGATATGCGATTTTGATAAAGTTATACGGATGCAGATCGGTTTTAACAGAACAGCTCGATCGCAGAGTGAATGAAAATTCACGAAAATTAACATCAGGATTGCTTGCATTATTTACAAATAATTATTATTTAATTATATTATTTTATTTATACGACTATGTTGTTACGAATCACATATGACGGGGAATTTTTAGTGATTTATTTTATGGAAATTTTATTATAATGTTACGCAATGATGAAAGATTAGGATGGCAATAAACATAAATTCCTGTAGAAATTTCACGTGCCATAAAGGCGTATCTACATCTGAAAAGCATTTTATAAAACGTCGCGGTTTATGTTTTATAAAAACGCTTTAGATGTAGATACGCCTTTGTATGTGGCACGTGAAAAATATATTCGGCTCCGAACACGCTCTAGGAAATTATCTAAAAAGAAGATTTCATATCTGACATTATAATGTCACAATCTTCCCGTTCGCGTCATCTTCAAATATGTAACCATCGCCGTGTATGAAGCAAGCGTGTATTTTCCCAATGTCGCGCCGACTACTGTCAGGCGACGCGATCTCAACGACGTCGCTTTAATACGCATTTTTAGTAAATCGACGCTTTGTTCGGCGACCACGTGGAGCACATTCACTCTGGACGGAGATCTGAAATCGTGCTCGCGATGTATGCTCACCTGGGCAGCGTCGCGCGTCAGTTTAATGGCAGTATCGTAGTACACGTCCTCGGCGTATCGCGCCATTTCTGTAAAACCTGGTGGTGAACGCGCGTCGCAACGAACGTGCGTCCGTTTCGACCTCGTCGGGAAAAGGCGCGAGCTAGCACTGTTCCGCCTGCGTCTGTACCTCGTGCTTTTTCATTTGAATCGGCTGACGCCTGCCGCAGGTAGTACGGCGCCGAGAACAACGATCGGCGCACATTCTATCGGCGCATTCTTGGTTTTCATCCCGAGAGCTTTAGCTTCTCGAGGTCCGAAGATTATAAATTTCGAATTACTGCTGCTTGTCAACCGGAGAGTACGATAAACAGCGAAATAAACTCGACTAATTGGCCTGTTTGTGTGCATATCATATCTTTGATACGGCATTACGGTGTTCTAAATCTGCTACTTAACACTTCACGTTGGCTGCATTTGCAATGTCGAGTTAATAAAATGAATAACTGCAGTGAGATGTCATATTCAAGATCCTGCTCAAGACTATTCCGTGCTATCTGCTTTATGAGATAACAATAATGCCATTCTAAAATAGACCTTGATTTCATATCCCGTCTGAGATGTACTTAATTACACGCACCTGCCACTCACCACGATGATGTGAGATGCCTCTCGACAACGCGATTGTTTTACAAACAAAAGAGAACGAAATGATCAGCGCTATCTCGCTGGTTAATTTTCTCATATGATGTTTATAGTACCTCTCTCTGTCTCCCTCTCAATCAATTCTCTCTCAAACAATTAAAGAAATTATAAATTTTTAATAATACAATCCCTCGCAGTGATCTGGGAAATAGTATGGATAGCTATTGTGAGTGTGTGATTCAGTTGCGATGATAGATAGCGATATAAAGTCATAATAAGATATGCAAATTTTGCGCGATAATTGCCACGGCAAGAGCTACAGGTATTGCAAGTTTCGCTTCCTCGAATGGTTTAGTGATCATATAAATTTTAATGTTAATTTCAAACTTAATCTACTTCTGATTACGCCTTACGTTTGATTGATTTATAAGACGTACGTAATAATTTACAAGGCGACATAAGCTTACTTAAATTTGTATTTATATCGATTATATCTATTAAATTTATATCTTACGATTGGTTCATATATAATTATTTTATCGTTAAAATCTCGTTATTTTGCTTACTATTGAAACAAGGATTATTCTATCAAAAGGTATATATTTCTAGAAAATCTAAAGAATATATTGCTTGAAAAGAGAATCTCTCGAAACTTGATTTTGTAATTTATGCAGCTATTTTTTTTTGCGTGTGTTGTTAATATACGGTGTTGTTGATTTCGCATAAATATTTTCTACGTTGATATTATCGAGAATTATCTCTATAATTTTGATTATTATCTTGCAATATTTTTCTGATTTTTTATTTCTCTCATTTTCTGCATTTATTGTTTACTAGACATTTCTGCTTGCAGCTTACACATTTGTGTTGCGCAATAAAGTATTTAATGTTCCCTGATCGACCCAACCTATTTCGACCATATCTATGTTTCTATCTATTTTCACACGCTGTTGCGAATATTTTTTATTTTAATTAGAATATTGAAATGTATTTATCTTTTATCAAGAATTGAAATTGAGATCCTATTAGCGTTTATTGGAATCACTTTTTTTTCAATAATTTTTTTCTGATATATACATTATGACATAACAATTTTTTGTTTATCTATGTATTAGTGCTTAAAAAAGGCGCAAAACGCAAGAATTGATATGATTGAAATAGTAACTTTAAATTCACGACCTTGGTCATAAATATAAAACTCAGTTTATTACAATTTCTTGGAAAAGGCAGTAATAAAAGCCAAAGGAAAAAATAACAAAATATTAAAATTGTTATGAAAATAAACATTATTTTTCAATAAAACTTTTTTAAATTTGATTTTTGTTAGATATAGAATACTTATGTCAGTTTATGAGAATGCTTTATACTTTTGACCAAGGCTATATCTATATAATATATCAGACATCGAAAATATTACGTACATTGGGAATATATTCTTTACAATAAAAGGTATTGTTGAAGCAGGTTATAACATGCGGACAACAGCCATGAATATTTATCGTGTATAATAAAAGAATTATCGAAGATTTTTTTCAAGGCATTAATAATTAATTTTATTATCTTATCTTCTAATGTCGACCTCTTACAAAGTAGATAGCATACAGAAACTCACTGAGCTTTTAATTCATTATTAAAATGTTTACATATTTAATTGATAAAAACGATTAATATATTAAGTTAATTAATTGATTGATTTAAAAATCAGTAATTAATAATCTTGTTAATTTACTAATCAGAAATCTTAACATACGTATCTTAAAAACCTATTAAAAGAAGTTTTATTAAATGCAAGAGTAATTTAAATGTAAATTCTGGTAGTTGCGTGATAATTATTTAAAGTATCTACTCTCTAAATTTTCTGGAGTGAATCTCACTCCAAAAGATTAAAAATACTGTTACTCGGTCATTTGAGTGGCAATATTTTCACTCTTTTGGAGTGAGGCGGCGCGTAATGAATTTAATATATTGCGCTTTGCAATAGTTTTACTTTTATTTTTGTAACCACAACGGGGAAATTGATCGATAGGAAAACTGATTATGCTAATTCTCATTTCACAACATTGCGATGGCACACTGATTAACGCAATCGTACGATACCTGTAAGTGCGTCAATAGGACTTTTTAACGGAAACTTTTTTAGACCGATTTTTATAATTAATTTCCTTGTATTTTACACGTAATAGGTATATGTACGTTTGCTGCTGGAACACGCCTTCTTCTGCTTTACACTCGGCTCTTGAATCAATTAGCGTGAGTCATTTTTGCCTTGCGTCAGGTTCTCTTAAGCCTTTTTCTTTGCGTTTTTAAATCAGTATCGACGATTAATTTAGACATATCTCGTGCTAGAGTTTCGTTTGCCGCTGCAATAGTATTCGGCTTCATAATATCGTAAGCACCACCTGAGAAGATGATTATGATAATTAATTTTATAATAACATAATCGAACAACATTGATTCTTGCGCTTATCTCTTTCTCCTGTTTTATATTATTCTGCAAGACATCGCTATACCCTGATATCTGATTTTGATAACTGATTACTAAAATTTCTGACTGTACATTTGATATAATTATTTGTTCAAAATAATTGTTATCTTATGAGTGAAAGTCATCTTATTACAGTGAAAGTATTTTAATGTGGATATATTTATTTACAGCTAGCCCGAGCTAGTTTTGTTAATATTATTTATCTTCCAGATGATAAATTTAATATAAATATCTCAGAAATAAATTTTTTTAGAAAATTTCATATGTTCGTAATTCGTATCACGGCAGAAAATTTGTGAAATTTTGCCATAATGATATTTGTTTAGTAATCTGTCATTCGCGTTATTATTATCGTTAATATTTTTTTGTTACTGTTAATGTTTACCTTTTGTGTTTATAACAATTCCACCTGCTTCGCGTACGATCAGCGTTCCTGCCGCCACATCCCATGGTTTAAGGATGTTATCTATGTGCAAGCAATCCGTCGCACCTCGCGCTATGTATGCCAGGGTTAGTGCGGCTGATCCAAAATTCCTGACCCTAAAGTAATACACAAAAGAAAACACATATAAAGAATCTTTTGAAAATAGATGTACAAATAGATATAACAGATGATATATATATATACATATATTCACGATTAGTTAAATATATAATTACGTTTCACTTACACCTGCGTCGCCTCGATCAAGGCGTCTACCCTAGCCGAAAATATGTCTTTGTCCTTTTCTATAATTTTTATAAGTGACGGATCGAGCACTAGCATCGCTTTCTTCAGATCTGCAAAATATTTGAAGCAATGAGAATAGCACTTCTTACAGGTGCACTTACAATTAGATGTGGCTTTTCCCATCCGTCGCGGAATTATTACAGTTCTACTCTTCATGAATGAATCAGCTATGTGATTAATATGTACGTAATCCAGATCTACAATCTTGTTGTTAAAAATAAACTGTTATTGAATTGAATAGTGCATTTAGCACTAATTTTGCAATGCGGAAAGTACACGACGGAAATCAATTATGATGCAAAAATTACGCATGTAAATAACGTAGGAATGATAATTACGAAGTGAAAAATGTAGCATTCTTGAATTTCCAAAAATCGCTCACGATTGCCATGAAAATCGACATTAATATCTTCGAAAATATAATACTGATAATATCGAAAATATAGGTACTATTGATTCTGCCATTAAATGTGCATTACCAATGATTTTAGAAGTGCGAATCGGCTTTCCATTCAGGAAAGCGCCTTTGCCTTTTATCGCGCTGTACAGCTCTGAGTTCAGTGGATTATAGATGATGCCTAAAACGAGCTCTTTGCAGACTGTTAAACCTAAGGATATGCAGATATGAGGTAATGAATGTATGAAATTGACGGTTCCGTCGATTGGATCGAGGAACCACGTCGGCGCGTTCGTCAATTCTGGCATTTTCTGCATCTCAGTTACCGTTTCTTCCGCGATAATCCTGAAACACAATTATATATTTTAGCTTACATTAATCGAACATAATATGATCTTAGGATTAATATTATAGGATTAATTATTAAGTTAAATTGAAATTCGGTTGTCTAATCATTTCCAGTTGGTTTGTTTTTATGCGATTATGCGCTTTACAACTCACTTGTGATCAGGAAATTCTCTGGATAGACCGTCAATAAAAAATTTCTCAATTTTCTGATCAAAATTGGTTACGAAATCCCATTCTCCTTTGTTATATACAACTTTTTCGTCCTCGACACTACATTTGATTATCTATATAGATGAATAATACAAATTATGTGACAATACAACATGCAAGAAAGAAAGAAAATTAATTCAAAAAGATAATGTATATAATAAGCATATCTATTAATATAGGCAATCAAGGATGTCTTGCTAAAAATTTTGAAAGAGTGCATTGACAACTTTACAACTTTTGGGGTCGCTTTATGTGAAGCATCAAATATTTATTCTGCTTTAAGTATCTTAATATTTAATCCTCCCTTATCATATAATTTAATTTGACCACGCGTGCCATAGTTAGGGACAATGTCGCTCGCATGTTTCACCCGTATGAAGTACCACAAGTCTGATTCGTGCAGTTTATCATATGTATTTGGCTCGTAATCCGTATCGCGAGTCCCGCTCGATATTATACGCCAAGAGATTAAAAGTCGATTATCATCAATAACATATTTTTTTTAACAAGTGCAAGAATTTAAGATTCACAAAATTTTTGGTGTCACTTTATAGGTGTGCTATATAAGAATTATTTCGGATTCATTCAAGAATTAATTCAAGATTTTTAATCTTCGCAAATTCTCATTTATTTATATGCATATATATACAATATGCAACTTTGTCGTTCATTTTTATCTCCAGAATTGTGCAATCCTTCCGCTCGTGCATCAATCGTGACTCACCTTGCCAGCTTGCAGCGTGAGCTCCTTTGCGAACTCGAAACACCTCGCGATGTCCAGATCATTCGACATGATAGCCGACGTTGAGAAACGTGCCGGTACGACTGATCGATTCACCGTGCTAACCGCTGTGAATGAGGACCGGTATCTAACTGCCCTTATCTTTATAACCTGCAGTGACGTTTGATAGCACCAATTGCGCAGAGAAATAAATCTCAACATTCAACCCGCGCGCGTTTTTCTCATTGCTAACTGTCAACTTGTCGGGACTCACAAAAGACTTTCCGGAGACTTTTGAAGTTTGCCGGATCATGTACATAATGAAAAGAGAGATAATCTCACGTGCTCGCTGTTTTTTTTTTCTTTACTGTATTCATTCACATAATACATATCGTCTTTTTTTATAATACAATAATTTTACAATACTCACATTACAAGTAGTCGTATTTACTGAATTAATACTACGTTTTATGTTAAAACGTTTTTACGTATTTATTTGAGTCGTACGATCACGTTAACTTACTAATTAATACTACGTATTAACTTATCGTCAGATTACGATATGAGTACAATATCGTTTAACAATTTATGTATTTATGTATTTATGTATTTATCTGAGAGATATCAGAGAAATGGAACAAAATGTAAAATAATGATGTCACTTACTATTCAGTAACTGTATGTACGTATACGTGCGTGTTATTTCCTATTACACTTTCAATGTGATATGCTCTCGCCAGTAAGGCTTGGCCGGGCCCGCTGCTACTCTCAAACTGCAAAGTATGCTCCTACGCTGGCCTCGCGTGCACTCTTACAATTAGCGTTATTAATCCCATGCATGACCTTTACTTGTTCGGTACACTGATTTGTTATACATTGTACTTAACGTGTTACAGCGATTTTTAGTGATCGCCGCATGATCAACTGTATTGTATACTTCGTTTTACACAAATAATACGTGGTTGAACGCATTTGTTCTATCATCGTTAATTAGCAATTCGTAATTAGCAATTCTAAGATATGATAAATATTGATACGATAATTTTCCGCGATGACATGACATTTTAAACAAAAATTTACCTTCACACGTAGTTTTATTTAAATTTTATTTATATTATTTTAAATAACATTGAAGACGAATGTATTTCTTTTTTGTTTGAAAACGACGTCGTTATCCCAAGTTTTTGCCTTCAACAAGAACTCGTAATAATTATTTTGCACTCTTTTGCAATAATAACATTCTCTGATGGGTTTTCAGATCCGCGTGTTTTATTAACTTTACGAGTTCTTTCGCCAGCTTACAGTTACCGACAGCTAGCAGCTTAGGTGACATAACGTTGAATTCTCCACCTGAGCGGAACAAAAAGTGATTTAGACAAAATACATTTTTTATTCTAAAATAACTTGTATACTTATTACTGCTATATATCATTTAATTGTAACGAGAGATATAATCAAAGGTATATGTATAATATTATATACCATTTGTATCGATTACCACTCCGCCAGCCTCCTTGATTATAAGTACACCCGCAGCGACGTCCCAGGGCATCAGGTTGTCGGAGTGGTATCCTTCGACGGCTCCCATGGCAACGTGACACAGAGACAAAGCCGCTGAACCCATAGTTCTTATTCCGCGTGCTATCGAAACGAAAGCCTCCAATCTTCCCAAAATGATATCGCGAATGTTCTCGATAGTCGCGTATGAAGCCTCCAAGCACAGTAAAGAATGCTCGAGTCCTGGAAGAGGTACACGGAGAGAACTTTCTTTTAGAATTTACCTTGAAAATAGTGTTAATCGTGGGATAACATAGTATTTCGACGGATTTTATGTATTTTCTCTGTTTTTTTACTATATACTACAACAAAAATTATCACAGTAAAAAAAAAGAAACAGAGATAATCACATAAAATTTGTCTAAATACCCATGTTGTCCCACGATTAACAATGATTTTCAGGGTAAATTTTAAAAGAAAATTCCGTGTAAAATAATGTTATTATTGTCATCACGACTGTTTATCACAGATATCGATTTATTTTACGTATATAAGTCAAGAACTATAATAATAAATGATAAAATAAAATAAAAACTATGTAAATATATTTTATATGAAATTTAAAGTTAAGAAAATGTATATGTGCAACGTATATGTGCAGGAATGTACAAGATATACGCATGCGCTCATTTGATGGAGAATGCAGATATTTTTATCTTTGTTACGAAGAATTGCAAAGCGAAAGAAAAAAAAAGGAGCGGAAATGATTAATGATAGATAAAAAATAATACTTTACCTTCTATGGTCGAGCTCTTAATCGGTTTTTCATTGAAATACGCTCCGTGGCCTCTTCTGGCTGTGAATAAGTGTTCTAAAACGGGGTTGTAAACTATTCCAATCTCGAGCTCCTTATTCACAGCTAATGCAATCGATATGCAAGTATACGGGAAAGAATGTACGAAGTTTGTTGTTCCATCAATCGGATCGATAATCCATGTAGGTGCATCCGTAAGTTCTGGCAGAAAATTGGAATGTGACACTGTTTCTTCGCCAATAAACCTGACAAACATGTCAAAAATTTATATAAAGAGATACTACGTGAATAGATAATTTATGAAATAGTAATTTATTTTCTAATTTTGCTATATACACGCATATATCAATCAATTTTATTAAATTAAAAAATTCGGTAACTTACTTATGCGTAGGAAATTTTTTTGCTAAATTATCGATTAAAATAGCTTCGACTTTTTTATCATACTGCGTCACCAGATCCCAATCTCCAGCTTTTGTTTCAATATTCTTAGATCCTTGGAAAGCATCACGAATCACCTGGAAATAATATTGTATATATTTGAACGTTATTTCTGCACAAATAATAGGTGAGGTAATGGTATTGATTGTTCTCAAAATAGATAATTCATCAATTATAATTTGTCTGACAACTTGTGGGACGTACTTACAGAAATTGCATATAGTATCCGATAATTTTATCGCATGTGTCTTGTAATATGATGAATTTTAATCAGCAAAGTTACATTAAGGAGAATACTTCGTGTCGGGCGAATCGATAATCTTTCCAATCATACACAATTACAGAATATAATAGTAGACGTAAAAAATAGTAGAATAGTAGACATAATTGTGCCGTAAAGGAATTTTTATTTATTAATTATACTGTGTTTAGAATTCTTGTTTACTATTCTTTATTGAATGTGTGACATATATATTTATAGTTTTATTGATTATTTTATAGATTATTACAAATTTTTTAATAGATTTTTTAAAATAAATACAGGTATTCTTTAAACATGTAACATATATTTGCTCTATTTAAATAGTTCCGAGAGTGCAAACAATTGCCAATAACAGATATATCAGCTTCAATCATCCAAGTCATTATCTCTTTATTTAGTATATTACAGAGCGATGTTATATTTACCTTTCCAGATTTTATAGTAAGATCCAAGGCGAAGTCATAGCAATAACTGAGCTCCTCTTGAGTGGACATTTTCGCAATTTTCGTTAACCCGAATCCGAAATATCCGGCTTCTTTTACAAGTTTACTAACGGCGTATCGCGATAGCATGCTCCAGTTATATAGTATCGTCTGAATATCGTGGAAGCATTGTTCTTATGGTACGATTGTCATCCCCACTATGAGCTCGCGTTCATTTAACTTAATAGGAATATCGAATCCTCTCGAGGTTCTTTTCCATTCCCTCTGCAATATGTCATAACTGAAGAGAGTCAAAGTCTTTGTTGCTAAATTTTATTATAGAAAAGTTCATCTTGGCTATGACACATTAATGTATTCTTGAATAAACATGATATAGCTTAGTAGGTATTTCTACCGTGATCCCGTATCTTAAAAAAGAATAATATATTGCATAAATATTTTAAAATTATCTATTTCACAGCTATCGATATTTTTTTCTAAATTTACGCTACATTGCATTCGAGTGTTAATTTACCATATCGGAGACGTTGTTTGCGAACAAATAAAGGATATTTTTTTATGTTTATTACATCACACTTGAACATTATGCAGCGAAGAAGGTCAATTTGACCAGAGCATATTGATTAAATTTTGTGACGAATTGAAAATTGCCGACGAAAAAATCTCTTATATCGTCGGATATGTTTTGTAAGCAAGGATAATCATCATCAGAATCAAAGTATACATGTCACAAAAATGTTTTTACAGATATCAAAATTTTATAATTGTGAAAAATCTTTATATATTAAAAATATTAAATACATTAGGATTAAATTTTAATTAAAATTTAACACATACAGTTTCTATTGTTGTTACAACAACACAAAATATTGGAAAAATAAGATTATAAAACAAGATTTAAAAAGAAAATAAAACTTTTCGGTAGGAAAGTTTTATTGCAAACGAAGGAAATTAAAAGAGTTACAAAAGGTCTTTTTTTATTTTTATCAAAACGTTCGTATTATTGTAAGCTTGTCGCACAAATTGCAGCAGATAAAGTATTATTATACATTGTCTTGTCTATCAGTCAATGCTTCCGAGATAGCTGTCTTGGTAGCATGTCTCAGGAACGTGACATCGTTTACTTGGCGACGTGAACGAGGCGTGGGAGCTTAACTTGTACATGCGAATAATTCGCGCAGAATATTCGATTAAATAAATATATCTTTACGTGTGCTACTTGCGACCACGTCAGGCCTTACATGACTTTGTGCATTTCTCTCGCACCTGATTTCGTCGTGTCTACATACGACTTTTATTAACGTGATGAAATTGACCGCTATTACCACCGCTGATCGCAACTACGCTATATCGTGGATATGTTAATCGTTACGGCATATAACGCACATGAAGTACGATGCAATGTCGATTTATCGTTTTTGCAGATTTCTACTTGCTACATGTAAGCCTTATATACTTTAGTAAATCTTGCAAACATTGGAGAAGTGTTATTACTATTAGAATTTTTATTTATTTATTTTTAATTACAATGTAATTAATGTATTAAAAAGAAAATTGTGAATTAATTACTTAAAATTTACACTCGGTATTTTCGAAAATATTTTTAATTATAAATTTTCAAGATATATATAGGATTTTTTTGTATTTTACAGAATCAAGGTCCAGGCGGTCCAGTCGTACAAGTACCTACGTCTCAAGGACCTGGAGGACCAATGGTACCAGGACAAATGGGTCCAAATGGACCACAAAGTGGATCTCATATGATGCAAGCTGGTCCTAATCAAATGGGTTCTAATGGACCCGGACAGATGGGTCCTGGCGGACCGGGACAAATGGGATCTGGTGGACCCGGTCAAATGGGTCCTGGACAGATGGGACCAGGAGGGCCAGGACAAATGGGTTCAGGAGGTCCAGGACAAATGGGCCCAGGAGGCCCCGGACAAATGGCTCCATCTCACATGGTGCAAGGTGGAGGTCCTCCTGGGGGACCTCATATGAGTCAGAGTGGACCAGGTCAAATGGGTCCAGCTAGCGGATCTGTTCCAGGATCGCAGATGGGTACTGGTCCTCAAAATTCTCAAATGGTTCCCGGTGGACCCTCACCTGGGCATATGGGTGGACCTCCAAGTCACATGAACGCAAGCGGCCCACCAGGACCGGGCCATATAACCTCTGGTGGTCCCCCCGGACCAGGACATATGGGTGGCGCAGGACCTCCATCAGGAATATCAGGAATATCACATATGAATGCTAGTGGGCCACCCGGATCAGGACATATGAACGCAACTTGCCCTCCTGGACCGGGTCACATGAACACTGGTGGACCTCCTGGATCAGCAGGACATATGAACAGCGGACCACCGATTCCAAGTCACATAAATGCGAGTGGTCCACCAGTATCTACACATATGAATGCGAGTGGTCCGGGAAGTCACATGGGTCCTGGTGCTCCTGGTCAAATGCCCACAAGTGGTCCTGCAGTGCACAGTATGGGTCCAGGAGGTCCGAATCAAATGGGCCCTGGTGGCCCGAATCAGATGATGGCGAACAGTCAAACGCAAATGGGACCTAGTGGACCGATGGGCCCTGTTGGGCCAAATGGACCTGGCCAAATGGGTCATAATGGGCCGTCACAGATGGGCCCAAATGGACCCACACAGATGGGCATGGGCGGCCCTCCTGGACAAATGAATATGAATGCACCGAGCGGACAGATGGGACCTGGTGCACCCGGTAATCAAATAGGACCTACAGGCGCGAGTAATCAAATAGGACCAAGCGCACCAGGTAGTCAAATGGGACCTTCCGGTCCAGGTGGGCAAATGGGACCAGGAAGCGGTCCCGTAGGCCAATTAGGACCGAATAGTCTTGTACAAATGGGTCCTGGAAGTGGTCCAGGTAGCGTACCAATGACAACAAGTAGTGGACCTGTGTCTATAGGACCTAATGGACCTACTGGAATAGGTGTCAGTGGGCCTGGTGGACAAATGACTTCTAGCAGCGGTCCCGGAGGACAAATGGGCGCAGTAGGTCCTGGAGGCAGCTCTGGAGGACAAATGGGCCCAGGAAACGGTCCTGGAGTGCAAATGAATGCCGCCAGTGGGCCTGGCGGTCAAATGGTGCCAGGAGGCGTACCTGGACAAATGGGACCAGGCAGTGGACAAATGGGACATAGTGGTAGTGGACCCGGAGGCCAAATGGGACCAGGAAGCGGACCTGGTGGACAAATGGGTCCAGGCAGTGGTCCTACTGGTCAAATGGGACCAGGGGGACAAATTCCATCTAGTAGTCCAGGACAGATGATGCAAGGAGGTCCGGGTCCTCAAATGGGTCCGAATGCTGCGAGCAATCAAATGGGACCTGGTGGTCCGAATAGTCAAATAGGACCATGCGGTCCAAATAATCAGATTAGTCATACAAATGCGAGTGGCCAAATGGGACCTAATGGGCCAAATGTTCAACCTTCTACTACTCAAATAGGTCCTGGCAGTCAAAATCAAGGTCAAGTTTCCGGTAACACAGCACCATTAGTATCAGGTGCTCCAGTAAATCAAATGAGTCAAACTGGAAGTGGACAAATTGGACCTACCGGACCTACCGGACCTACAGGACCCGGATCAGGACAAGAGAATCTGAACGCGCTCCAAAAGGCGATTGATTCGATGGAAGAGAAAGGATTGCAAGAAGATCCGCGATATTCTCAATTGTTAGCCTTAAGAGCTCGTCAAGGCAGTGGCATGGGCGACAAGCAAGCTTCTTTCAATACACAACAATTGCAACAATTACGGTACGTAAATTATCATAACGATTATGTATTATACCTGTATAGATTATAACCTATAAAATATGAAAATTATGAAAAACATCAATTAAAAAGAAACATGAAAACTATAAGTATATAAATTAAATGCAATTGCGAGTAAACAAAAATTATACGAATATTTTTAAATCATATTGTGCATTTTTTTTATTTTTATAATTTTGTCAAATAATAATTAGATTAAGTTATTTTGAACATATTAAAAACAATTTTTTAACTCAAAATTAAGGCATGTGTAAAATTATCATCCCAACATTAAAATTCCAGAGTTCTGTATAACAAGAGCTCTGAATTAAAAAAATTTACTTTAAATTTAAATTAAAAATTGTTATTAAACAGAACTCTTGTTATAAACTATAGGGAACTCTTCGTCTCTTTAAAATGAAGCACAAACTCTGATTAGAACTATGGAAATTTAATGTTGGAGTGCTAACTTTTCACCGAAAATTAAGAGTATATAAATATTCTTTTTATATTTTTTCTTTTAATTTCGCATTCTTAATTTTTTCTCACATTCTTACAGTGCTCAGATAATGGCATACAGATTGTTAGCAAGAAATCAGCCTGTGCCTCAACAAGTTGCATTAGCTGCTCAGGGTGAGTTTTTAATATATTTCACTATATAAGCTTATACGCTCTGGGTGACTACTCTATCTTTTGTATCGCTTTCTGCCACATAATTTATGTTGCTTATTTTAAATTGAGCTTTTCTTTACAGTTAGTATTTTTTTTTTTACATCTGTTTGCTTTTTTATTTTACATTTTATTACATTACCTTAATATTATAAATATACGTAAAATTAATATAAATTATCTCTTGTATATTGCGTGTGATTTATAATATATTAGAAATTTGTATATGATGCTCTTATATAATATTTTATTCTAAATGCTTTTATCTTGGATATGCATTATGCTAAATATTTTTTGCATTAACTTTTATTTCCGCTCAGTAATCTTATGTATTGGATTGTGTAATTACAGTGATTATGCTTACTAGATTGTAACGTTTATTATAAACTATGTGAATGAAAAGAGACGAATGTATTGTGGTATTTACAAAAGTAGGGTAGAATGATCCTGATTTGATAAGGCGGATTTGAATAGGTGGCGCACCTCCTCCTCCAGGGATGAGTCAACGCCCCATAGATCCGTCTCAAGGCCCTGTTACAACAGCTGGGCCACAAATACCAGGTCCGAATGTTATTGGTCCCGCAGGTGCTCCTAGACCAGGCTGTCAAACGCCGCAACAACAGCAACAGCAACCTCAATCTGGCGCTAAGGCTAACAGAGTGACAAGTGTAGGAAAACCTGTGGGATTAGATCCACTGTTAATATTGCAAGAACGAGAAAACAGGTAAGGACGAGCTTTTAGGTAAGGAAGAGAAAGAACATAGAATAGAATAGAATAGAATATTTATTCACATTAGCAATTTTACAGTCAAAAAGGGGATTTGGTTTACATTTAATGCCTTATCACTTATTAATCCATACCCTAACCTATCTCTCTATCTTATCCTGTACGCTTAAAACTACTTGACTATCAC